TACCAGGTGTGGTCGTTAATCTCAGTTGTTAACCTGATGAATCTAGAATCACTGTGGAGATGTGCCAGTGGACATGCCTACGGGAACTTCATCTTGATTAGGTTGATAGAGATGGGAAGTCACCCACTGTGAGTGGCACTGTTCCTTGGACTGGGATTCTGGACTGTATACAAACTAGGTGAACTGAACATGAGCATTCATCACTCTGTGCTTCCTGAGTGTGGATGCAATGTGACCAGCTGCTTCCAGTTCCTGCTGCCTTGACTTCCCCACAATGATACACTAAACCTTTGAATTGTGAGCCAAAACAAATTCCTTCTCTTTTAAGTTATTTATGTCTGAGTATTTTTAATCACAGCAACCAGAAAAGTAACTAAGACACCAGGTGGAAGATTTTGAGGTTTTCTTCTGTTTTTCCTACTTTGGGCAATTATAAATAAAGTCATTGTAAACCTTTACTGACAGATTTCAGTATAGACACAGGCTTTTATTTCATTTGGGTAATTAGAAAGGAGGGTAATTGCTGGCTTGCATGGCAGGTGTATGCTTACTTTTTAACGACACTCCTAACCTGGAATGTATGTATCATTTCACATTTCTAGCAGCAGTATAAGAGTTTCAGATGTCTTGTGTCCTCATAAGCACTTGGTATTGTCCTCTGGTTTTGTATTTGTTGTTTAATTTTAGTAATTGTAAAATACATAGGACATTTTAAGCACAAGAATAAAAACATTTACTTTTAACCTAATTTAACTGAGGACATTTTGAGAGGTTTGGAAATGACATTATTTGAGTTTTAAAACAATGGCTTCAGTTGCAGTGTGGAGAAGGATTTGGAAGGAGGCAAGATCAATGTGTGAAGAACTTTGGGAGCATGTCACAGTAGTATAAAGGAAGGGAAGGCACTTGGAGTTGAAACAGCAAAGAGGAAAATGTGCCTAGATAATGTGTCAGCAGGTAGAGTAGTACTCAGTGATCTCATGTGGAACTTAAGACAGTGGAAGTTGTCAAAGATGTTTCTAGAATTTCTGGCACAAGCAGTCACATGAATAATGACAATCCTTACTGAGCTGAAGAACTGGTGGTTTAAACCAATAGTTTGGCGAGATAAAATCATCCAGTCAATATTGAAACTCTCAGTTGGATTCAGGAGAAATCATTATGGTGTAAAGAATATTAAATGTTATGGGGCACATGAGAGTCCCTAGAGAGCTCGCAGCCACTGAGACGAGGGAACAGGATAAGAGATGTGCCACTGATTATTGTTGGGCAGGAGAGTGACATCTAGAGAAAGCTAAGAGAGAGAAAGGTGCTGGAGGCAAGAGAAAAGTGTTAGTTGTGTCAGATACCAGGTTGAAGGAATAGTAAATTGTGTGCTCTTGGGTGTAGTAGGATAGTGGGCAAGGTGAATGGGTTGTGAAGGTGGTGTTGGTGTGTATGTGAAAATCTAAATAATAGTGAGTTGAGGAATGGGTGAGTACCAAGGCAGCTTAATTCAGAGGCTTAGAATCTTTGAAGAACTTTTAGGATGGTTGTTGGAAGCCTATGAAAAGAATTCTTTTTCTTCTTTCTTCTGAGACAGTGTCTTGCCAGTAGTAATTCAACCTGGCCTTGACCTTGCAGTCTTCCTGCTTCTACCTCCACACATGCAGCTGAAAGAACTAATGTTGTTGTTGTTTTTAATGATAAGATAGAGAGGGGTTAGAGCACTCTGAGGAGAAAGCTGAGGCAGAGAGGAAGCCAGCAGGAACTGCACAGCTAATGGAGTGCTCCATGTCTAGCCCACCCACTGGAGGAGAAGCTCAGCTAGTCCACGTTAATCTTCATAGTTAGAATAGAGCATTTTTAAAGTTACCAAGTTCTAATGAACTATATCATAATATGGTCTTTAAACTTATTCTCAACTATTTCTAGAAAACTTACCAAGCAGAAAATGTCAGCAATTCTGTTGATGTGTGAAAATGCTCTGGCGGTTTAGTCACTTGTCAGTCCCATGTCCAAGTCCTTCCCATCTGTCATGGTGCAGTTCTCCCTCCCGTGACTGAGTGGTCATAGCCTGGTGGTGTTTTCTCCCCCCCGCCCCATTTTGGCATTTGCTCTTTCTATATACTTGTTCTGTATGCATATACTCTCTTTTTCTATGTTCTCTCTCTCCCTCCCTCCCTCCCTCCCTCCCTCCCTCCTCATTAGGTGATGGAAGACAAAGACCCCAACTAAAAGACAGAGTTCTGTTCTCCACAGCACCAGGCAGTTAGTTACTTTTACTTAGCTTGTTACATGAGAAGGTAGCTAATAGCAGATGAACAGAAAGAGTTATGTGTAAAATGGGATTTTTTGTGTGTGTGTTTTGTCATTTGAATTAATAGCTGAAGAGTTATCACACCTGATTATAATCTTCATTTTTATTATACTTAGGAAGATATTTTGAAAGTTCTTAAATGATTTAATAATGATAGTAACACCAGCAGCCATTGAATAGTATTGTAGTTTAGCAGTGACATTAATACCTTTATTTCATTTAGATTGAGGTTAATTCAGAGATGCAGAGATAGAACTATCACCATTACTTTATCTTTGTTCTATAAACCAAGAAGCCAAGGCCCAGAAAGAAAATCAGAAGTCACACTGCCAACACACAGGAGTGTAGAGAGCCAAGCTCGGTCCTGTGCCTAATCCTAGGGTTTTCTAATACATTCTGTGACTTCTAGTTTTATTTTTATTTATTTATTTTTTGTGTGTATGAGTGTATTACCTGCATGTATATAGGTGAACCCATGTCATGCAATGACCATAGAGGTAAAAAAAGGGTGTCAGATCCCCTGGAACTGGAATTAGGGTTGGGTGTTAGCTGCCATGTGGGTGCTGGGAACTGAACCCTGGTCCTCTGCAATAACAATAAGTGCTTTTAACTGGCAAGTCATCTCTGCAGTCCCTACCTTTATTTTCATAAAACTCCAACTAGCCTGATAATAGCTAAACCAATAATAAGGAGTAATTTAGTTTATTCTATTTGACTGAATGTTTGGAATAATCTCCATGTAAGAGCTAATTTAGATCACAGACGGACATGCTGATGAATATTTGTAAACCCCAGCACTCAGGAGCTGAGGCAAGGGGATCGCGAATTTGGGGTCAGTTTGGCTGCATAGAAAATTCTAGGCCAGCTTGGGATACATAGAAAGTGTCTGTCTCAGAAGACCTGATTGTACTTCTTGAACAAGCTTTGCCTAAACCCTGATCATTCAGAACTTCATATATGCCCTGTGGCAGGATGGGAAGGTCGTGATGGGCGTGCTCATGCTGTGATGGAGTGAGAGGGAAGGAGTTGTATTGAGCAGCATGGACTAACACACTTTAGTGTGGCTGATAGTGTGGCAGATGAAGCCACAATGTAGTGTGAAAAAAACAAATGCCTACTTTCCTGCATGTTTTACTCTGACTTCTGGTTATGGTCTCCCCACCCCACCCCCATCCCCATCTGCTTTTCTCTCTTAAGCAGTATCAGGCTGGTCTGGAACTCATTAGAAACCTAGACTGGCCTCCTTCCCTAGTCTCCTGAGTGTTAGAATGATAGATGTGTGCCACCACACCTGGCCCAACTCCTTTTCTGTTTGTGGTTGTCCTGGGTAGGAAATGCAGGGTCTTATGAATACTAGGGAAGCATGGTACTACTGAGCAAAACCCGAAGCCCCAACTAATCTCCCCACCCCCACCCCAGAAAAGACAGGTATGATGTTTGATTTGGGCTGACAATGAGTTATATTATTAAAGAACTAAGCATGGGGTCTGGAGAGATGGCTCAGCAGTTAAGAACAGTGGTTGTTCTTAGAGAAGACCCAGGCTTGAATCCCAGCACCCACATGGCAGCTAACAACTGTCAGTAACTCCAGTCCCAGGGGATCTGACAGCCTCTTCTCTCCTCCACGGGCATTGCACGACACGGGTACACTTACCTACATGCAGTCAATACACGCATACACATAAAATAAAAAAAAAATAAGTAAAACTGAAAAAAAAAAGTTTACGAACTAAGCATGGGGAAGGTCAGTATTGATTATCTTTTAGGAAGGTTGTGCCTTGCTTTGATTATATTGCTGTTAAGTTTTCAAAAATCTGAATAATGTACAGTAAAACAGAAAATCCTTAACTTTATTTATTTTTATTTTTTATTTTATGTGTATGAGTGTATTGCCTTCATGTGTGTAAGTGCACCTGTGTTGTGCAATACAGTGGAGGACAGAAAAGGGTGTCAGATCCCCTGGAACTGGAGTTATGGATCGTTGTTAGCTGCCATGTGACTGCTGGGTCTTTTGTAAGTACAGTCAGTGCTCTTAACTACTGAGCCATGGCTCCAGCCCAGGAAATCTTAAACTTTAAAATATTAAATGGGGAAACCTCTTACTAAAATCTTAGAAATGTATTGTTCCCATTAAACATAGGTAATTATTTAAATAAGATAGAGTAACTTCTACTAAACAGATTTAAAAAAATCCACTGATTTAAACTGACAGACCATGAACTCTAGAATATATTTTTGTCATGAGAATTGAGGAATGAGAAGCGTAGACATTTAAGAAATTGCACTACGATATAAAGTGCACTTTCTCCTTCACATGTTGTCTATACTTTTAAATCTTATTTGAATGATTTAATGTTACTGGGTAAAATATTTCCTTCTGACACCTCAAATTGGTCTAGGTAGAGTATTTGGGAATTGCTGCTGAATGGTAGAAATAATTAAACCTTGCTATATATAACATTAGACAAGCAGTTGAGCTATTGAATTTGAAATTGGATGTTCCATTGCTAAAGAGCTGAGACCTATGAAAGACCCATCCTCATTTACCCCAGTCCAAGGTAGCTGTTCCTGTAAACTTCATGTGGACAGTGGTCTAACCTTAATATTCCTCATCTCTGTTATGATGCCCTTTCTTAATGTACTGTAAACTTTGCTAAGTGGCATCCAGATACATGACTGGAGCTGGTCTGCTTTCCCTCAGGTGAGCCTGGCCTACGTGGAAGCAGCAGAGTACCTCACGGAGCCAGTGAACCGAGAGCCTCCCTCCAGAGAAGCCCAGCTGCTGACTCTGCAGAACACATCAGAATTTGATATCCTTGTTATTGGGGGAGGAGCCACAGGCTGTGGCTGTGCACTAGACGCTGTCACCAGAGGTGAGTCCTGATGTGGTTGGCTGTGCCACTGGAGGGGTTTCATCTTCCTTCTTCATTGCAGACTTAAACAATATGTGATACACCGCTCATGTTTCTCTTGGTGATTCTCAGTTTTCCTTCTTTTGTGACATACTCTTGCGATTTTCAATCTAGGTACTTTGAAGTAGTTTAAAAATTAAATATAACCTGGTTTCATTTCAGTAGATTTATTTGAAAAGAAGATTTTGTAGTCCCCCAAATTCATGTAAACTTCATAACCTAAATCCTTTTCTGTTTAGTCCAAATAATGGTAAATTTAAAATATAAACAGAAGGCGGGGTCTGGTGGCGCACTCCTTTAATCCCAGCACTCAGGAGTTCCAGGACAGCTGGAGCTACAGGGAGACCCTCTTTCAAAAAGACAAAAATAAATAAAATAAATAAATAAATAAATAAATAAATAAATAAATAAATAAAATAAAATATAAACAGAATCTACCCTGTTTTACCATGTTGACCCCAGTTTTCATATAGTTTCTTGTCTCTAATTATGGACTGTAAGTCGAAGACACTTTTACTCAAACTTCTAAAGAGATGGGCAGAACAGTTTATAGCCAACACACAGTGACTTGAACTTAGCTATCTGGGCAGGACAATGGGAAGAGGAGATGTTTTGGTCTTAATAAGATACCTTCCTTAGGATAACTCAAAGGAATTAAAATTCACCAGATGACAATTTTCTGCATCACAGAGAGTAATTTCTCTAGTAGGACTCAGAAAACTGTATTTCTCCTATGTCCAGTTATTTTCATGCTTTATGCTAGAATACACAGTCACACTTAATTTCAGTGTTGCAAATATTCAGAGTGTCTACTGCATGCATGGCAGTAAATCAGGTGCTACAGGAGACTAGTTGGTAGAGTCAGCACCGTTAAGGCGCTTGCAGGCATAGATTCCATCACCGGGAATGTGTGCCTTTCGGAAGTATTCAAAGGCATGACAGATGTGCAAATAGGTAAGAGTATATATATCTACAGAGAGTGATCAGGGGTAGGAGAACAACTTTGGCACATGTGAAGTTTAATAGGCAGATATTGCTTGCTGAGAGGGCCCCACTGAAGAAATGCACAGGTGGAATTGCATGGTATCAGTGATAGTGGCGAATGCAAGGTACATGTAATTGGAACACTGAAGCTAGAATTACGAGAAAGGAGTGGGGAGGTGTGCTAGGTGAAGTCCTTTGATTTTGCTGGGCCAGCTTCTTGAGATCCTGGAGATGAAGAAAGGGCTAGCAGTTTGGAAGGAGTGGAGATGGATACAGTCTCTCAGGAGATCTGCAGACAAGTGACATGGTGAAGTGGGGTGGAAAAGGAAGCAGTCTTTCTGTTGAAGGATTCCTTTCCCTTTTCTCCTTTTTCTTTTGTGAAGGTAGGAGTAATTTTCATATTTCTGTAAACTTGGAGGGAAAATTCAGTGCAGAGTAGAACCTTAATATGCAAGTGATGAAGAAGAGTGTGTGAAACAAGGTCCTTTGAAATGGTGAGGAAAGGCGTATCCCAGATGGGCCTTAGTTTTGGCAGGAAGGTGAAGTTTGTTTCCCAGAGACAGAAACAAGGGGTAAAGATTGTAACATATAAAGGGGGAGGGGCGCTAAGAACTGTTCGTCAATAAACAAAACCAATGTGAGATGTTTGACTTATGGGGAGGCTGAAGGGACTTCAGTTCTGAAAACACACCTACCACCTTATGGAGCCTATAATAGAGAAAGGGGGCTTCTTTGTTAAAGTTTGAAAAAGTTGATTTGTTATCCATGGGTATGTGTGCGTGCGTGTGTGTGTGTGTGTGTGTGCGTGTGTATGTGTGTGTGTGTGTGTCTTGTCTGTCTAGTACTGGTGAGTGGGGCAGAGAAAATAGATAGGAAGCTAGAATCTAGAACTGAAAATTGAATACATATCAATGGTATAAGGAGAAAACGAGCAGTTCTTCTGTGGAAGCAGAAGGCATTTAAAGATAGACCTAGAGCTGGAGATGGCAGGGTGGCGGGTAAGAGAAGCTAGATAGCCAGCCTTTGCCAGCATGTTAGGATGGCTGAAGGTCCCCCAGGGCATCAATAATCACACAATCAGCAAGTGCTTCTTATCTTTTCTTCTGAACAGTGTCATCTCTGTCCTTTTTTGTGCACTTTGTCTTCATAAAAACAAAAGATCAATTATAATTACTCTGTTTTAGTGTTTTGTTTTTTTTTAAATAACAGTGTAGTCAGTCATGATGTATAAGGTATTCATTCCTTTTAATGGAAAAAATGTTTTATTTATTTTTACTAAATGAATGCAGTTCTTGTCTTTGTGTGTGCGTGCATGTGTGTTTGTGCGCATACGTGCTTGCGTATGTGGAGACCAGAGGTTGATGCTGGGCTTCTTCCTCAGTCATTCTCAATGTGCTTAATTGTTTATGAGACAGGGTCTAGCCTGGAAAGCTGGCCTGGCCTCAAACTTCAGATCCTTCTTACTTAGCCTCCCAAATGCTGGGATTTCAAGCATGTAACATGTTGCCTGGTTGTTTCTGTTTCTGTGTGTGTATGCTGGCGATTGAACCCTGCTGCTGAGATACAGCACCTCATATTCTTTTATTTAAAACAGTACTGTTTACGAGTTAAGTATTGAGCATACTCCGAGTATACAAAAAGCTAGTAAGATATGCCCTTGCCCCCAAGGAGTGTACACTTTCTCAATATTTATTGAACTAATAAATTTTTTCTTTGAGCAATGAAGAGCATTCAGTAGTGATCCAGACACCAACTGTTACCTCAGCAGAGGTTTATGGGTAATGATAGTGATGATGGTTAGAATTCTCATCAGAGTTTCATAGTTAATACCAGCTAAGAAAATTTAATATCTTGTGACATATTGTTTGCTACTTTAAATAACTGGCTGAATTTCTTAGAGTATTATTATTTATGGAAGGGATGGGATAGTGTTTATAATTAAAACATATAAGGAGGTGCTGTAGGTGGTCCATATTTATCCTCTCACTGCAGTTTCTGCTCATATCAGTAACCCTCTGAAGTGTGAAATAAGCATGGGCTTTTGGTTAATGAATTGTGCATTGTTGCTGTTCATTCATGGAATTTGCTCTTTTATTATATTTGATGCTTCACTTAACAACAAATTTTGCTTTCTCTGTGTTTGATATGTTTTTAACCAAATGATTCCTGATTGTATCCATTAATCTCTAGTCACGTTTGACAAAAATAAATTACTGTGATCTTTTAAAGTTACCAGTAATAATTAGATTTTTCAGGACATCAAAGTTTTGGGGGCCCACTAGATGTCTAAGGGCTTTTATAAAAATGTTTGCACAAGGTTTTTGATAAAATGCAATGACAAAATGTAATTTTGATAATGGATACAGAAAGCCTGGAGGGAAGGGAGTCACTGGGTCTTCATAATGATTGTTATTTGCATTCTCATCATCTGCATTTTCTCGGGAATCAATTTTTCATTTGTTTCATTTGGGAATATTAGTTCATAAACATAATATGCACGATTCTCCTCACGTTCTCCTGCAGGTCTAGAGCAATAGAAATGGCTTCAGTGTTCAACACCTCTGTCCAGTTCCAGGGCTGAAGTACAGCCCTTGGGCCCAGTGGTAGGTAGGGGCTTTGCCCCATGGAAGCCAGCCGAGCAGAGTCTGATTAACGTATTCTCTGCTGCCGGACTCTGCAGCCGTTTCGCTTTCTTTTTGTGTGACTTTACCTGCTGGTGTCTGGGATTACCCAGGATATTTTTGGTTTAAAATCTGATTTACAAAACTTAACCATTCTATTTAAATTGCAGAAAAGGCTGCCTCTTGCTGGAGAAAAGTATTAATTGTAGTTCTCTTGTTTGAAATGTATTTTACAGCCAGATGAGGTAGCCCACAACTGGAGACAGGAAGATCAGGAGTTCAAGGTCATGAGATGCTGACTCAAAACCCTAAAAAAGCAAAACAACAAATGCATAAGCATCTCTAGTTTATAAGTGGTGTGAGGCTTGAGTCTCACCATGATTCTTTCAAGTCTGGGCAGTTCAGCATAGTATGGACACAGGTTATGGACCTGGAATGAACTGAGGTCAAATTTTGGTTTTGTTGTTTGAGCTCTGTGACCTTGCACGAGTGTCTTAACCATAAAGAGAGGGTTGAGATTTTCAGGAATAAATGGAGGGTAACAGTAGCATCCTTCTCCAAAAGTTTGAGAAAGGAGGGGGCCCCTGCTGCCACTCCGCCTGAGGGTGCAGGAGCCACATGATACTAGGTGAAACTGAAGATGAAACTGAAGGAAGTTATCACTTGCCACACACTGCCAGTTACACTAGGCTGCAAATCTCTGTTACTGTTGTTCTGGAAATCTGACAAAATTCTAACGTAGTGATTTCCTTTGTCAAGGAGCCAGGCAAGGGAACCTGAACAACTCACCAGGGAAATAAGAAATTTGCTAGACTAATTGTGAGGTTTACTAGATTAATTTTGTCAAAGATATGTTATGGAAGGTAGAGACTTATCAGTTCTTAAAATATATATTTAAAGCCACTATACAGTAATTTGGTGAAGGGCTAGAAAGAATGGTGGAACAAAAGTAAGAGTGTAGAAGTTGTAAATGCATGAAGTGTAGTTAAGGCGCACTTTAAATCTATTGTCATTAATTACTTAATGATGTTTGAGCATTCACTCTTTTCACTTAGTACATCTGCATGTGTATACATATATATGTATACACATTCTGTTTATGACAGTCAGTGTGGATCAGTGAAATAGCAATAACACTAAAATTGAGAACGGATACGTGAATTAAATGACGGAATATGAAAGGTTTTTTTTTTTTTTTTTTTTTTTTTTTTTTTTTTAGGTCTCCCTGTAGCCCCAGCTGGCCTGGAACTCACTATGCAGACCAGGCTGGCCTTGAACTCACAGAGATTAAAGGCATGTGCCACCACACCCGGCTTTGTTGTTGTTTTTGGAATCACACTCAAGCACAGCCATCCA